TTTCTGCCCGCCGCACCGTGTCCTGTCTTCACTCACCTGCTGAGGTGATGCCCCCAGCTTCCTCATTCCACAGGGCCCCCGGGTGTTCCCTCCACGAGGAGCCCTCAGGTTCAGTCTTGCTGTGGGGAGAGGCCTGGTCCAGCAACATCCCACAGTCCTGAAACCACAGTGTTCACAGCTCGTCTTGCCCCGAGAGGCCCAGGGAGGGACCTACCAACCTCCACCCATGAGGGTCCTGGCCTGTGGGGCTCACCTGGGCCTCAGGCAGGAGAGTGGAAGCGGCCTCCTGGGGGTTGACCGGAGCCTCAGAATCCAGAAACTCTGGAGAGGAAGGATGGGGTTAGGTGTCCCACGGTTCCCGCCCCACGACTCTCCCCAGTGGCACGCTGGGTACTGGGATCCAGGTGGGGAGGGATGGTTGCAGGGTAGCTCCAGGGGCCCCTGGAAGGCCCAGGAGGAGGTGGCTCAGGTCTGCCCTGCACGCCTGCGTGAGATCTGGGCACACAGACAGGGTGGGAGAGGGGCACTGCCCAAGGGACCACAGGAGTGGTGGAGTGGGTGGCCAGCTGTGGCACCTGCCCGGGAGGTGTGCAAGGGAGGGTCAGGCCCCCAGCACTTTGGGGTCCTCCCTCATCTGCACCTACCCATACCCCCCAGCCTGCTGTCGCCTCTCCTGTGACCGGCTGACGTGCCTCAGTGGATCTCCTTGCGGAGGGAACCCCTCATGCCTCCCACACGTGGACACCCCAGCAGCTCGTCTCATGCCAGGGGAGAGCATGGAGACAACTGACAGGCTTGGCTGCGAGGGGTCCTGCCAGCTGCTGCCTGGGAGGGAGGGGCCCAGTGCATGGCCATGGCTCGTCCATTAGGTGACTGGCCCAGTGGCTTCAGGATGTCCAGGCCCAGCTCCCAGGTCCATCCAGTTAGGCCTGGGGCCCTGCCTACCTTGCCTGTCCTCAGCTGGGTCCTCAGGCTCCTTTTTCACCTGAGGGCTCGGCGGCGACCTCTGCGTGGTGACCTCTGTCTCAGGCCCAGGCTCCGTAGTCTGAGGCTTGGTTTGCGGGAGGGACTGGAAGTCGGAGGGCTCCACCTTCTCCGACAGCACCTCCTGTCCCTGCACCTGGACTGTGACCTGGGGAGGGGCCCGTCTCATTAGGGGCCCAGGCCGGGAGGTGGGGCTGGACCCCAATGCAGGACTTCAAGGTCTGGACTAAGTAGGTCCTTCAGGAAACCCATCCCCCAGGGAATGTGCTGGGGGTGTCCTGTGTCGACACCCGCCCTGCATCCCTCCCTGTGTCCATGACCCCGCATGGGACATGTGTCCAGCTGAGCACGGCCTCCCCAGGTTATGTTCAGGGCAACCGACTCACCCATCTCCGGGGTCCTCCTGGCTCCCGACGCAGCCCCTCCACCAGGGCCACAGCCTCCTCAGGGTTCCCTGGCCGCTGCCCTCGCACTCGGGCCTGGATCTTGGGGGGCAGCGTGCTCAGGAACTGCTCCAGCACCAGCAGCTCCAGCATCTGCTCCTTGGAGTGCACCTCCGGCCGCAGCCACTGGTGGCACAGCTTCCGGAGCAGGGCCAGGGCCTCTCCGGGCCCTGCCGCCTCCTCGTAGCGGAAGTGCCAGAAACACCAGCACGCAGCCTCTGGGCTGGGATCCCATGGGGTGGCCTCCTCCTCCTCCTCCAGCTTCACCACGATGGGTCTCTCGTCCTCCGGGGCTGTGTGCCCAGGGGAGCACAGTGCTGCCGGCCTCATGGGAAAGATGGCGTGGCCCCGAGGCTACTGCTGACCCTGGGGACGGATGGGATGAGGCTGCTGCAACGACAGCAGAGTGAATGCTTATTGAGTGCCGACTGCATGCTGTGCTGTCCCATCCTCAGTCCTGCCTGGGGGAAGGCGGATAGGACACGGAGGCTCAGGGGGGTGATTACCGGGCCTGCAGAACCTCTGGTCACCCCCAGCCCCAAAGAATTCTTAGGCTCAGAAGTCACCTCTTCTCTCCCCTAAATCCTGCTCTTTCCTTTAAAAAAGATTTTTTTTATTGATTTTTTTACAGAGAGGAAGGGAGAGGGAGAGAGTTAGAAACATCGATCAGCTGCCTCCTGCACACCTCCTACTGGGGATGTGCCCGCAACCAAGGTACATGCTCTTGACTGGAATCGAAACTGGGACCCTTCAGTCCACAGGCTGATGCTCTATCCACTGAGCCAAGCCGGTCAGGGCAATTCTCTTTCTATGTACATCACCTCATCCCTGCCCTGTAGCTCTCCCTCTCACAGGTGATTGTCACCAACACCCACCACCGGGGCATCAGCCCCACTACCGCCCCCCTAGCCAGCCCATCATGGCACCACCCCCTCTTCCACCCAGTCTCAGACCACTCCCCTGCCTTCTTGGTTCCACAGGGCAGTCTCCCTCCACCTGCCAACCCCAGCACCTGTGCAAAGTCACCCGTGTGGCTCAGCCCCCAGGTGGCCTCCTCCCCCAATTCAGCTCCCTCCTCTGAGCCCTGCTTATCACGCCGAGCAAATCATGGTCGTCTCAGCTTCCTGACAGGTGGACCCGGGAGGTGAGAGGGGAGCCCTGCGACCACGGACCAGAGGCTGGTCTCGCTATTTGCCACGTAACCTTGGCAGGTCGCTGTGTCTCGGTGAATGTGTCATCTGCAAATAAGGACGACCAGCCCCCGCGCCCCCACTCCGCTGCTCCTGCAGCTGTTAGGCGCGGGCTCTGTGCAGGAATCTGTTCATTAAGGGTGTGGTTTCGGTTTCGGCGGCCGCCTGATTCCGTGAGCCCACCCTCCGCTCCTCTAGGTCCCAGGTCAACCCCAAAACCTTGGGAGAAAGTTGGACCATCGTCCAGCCAGCCGGGCCTCGCGGAGATTTCTGGACTACACTGACCAGAAGCCTTAGCGGGCAACTTCCGCTCTAGGGAGCTGGCAGGTCCAGGTGCCGCCACGGCAACCGGGGGCGGGGCTCCGGTCGCCGCGGCCATGCGGTGACTGACGGGCTTCGGCGACAGCGCCGGGCTCGCCAGCAGGGAGCGCCCAGGGCCCGGTCCCGCTTTCCCGGTCCCGCAGGAATCCCCGGTGCGCACCGCCACCCGCCCCCGCCCAGCCTTCCCGTGGAGAGGCCCCCGCCCTCACCCCCACGCGCAGCGGCCGCGCCGGCTCTCCTGAGCATGCGCGCTCGCAGGCTCCCCTCCCCAGCTGCACTACGTCTCCCGGGAAAACTGCGCAGCAGTCCCACCGCCTCCGGGCCCTTCCCCAGCCCTCGCCTCTGTGTCCACCCTGTTCCCCGGGGAATTGCTGTTCCCAACCATCAGGTCACACTCCCGGCCGCCGCTTCCCGCGCTCCCCGCCTCTGCTCCGGGCGTCGGGCCCCCGGCGACGTGCGCAAACTTCTCTGGGGGGAACCGACGGCAGCGCTGCCTTCCAACCGCGCATGCCTCCCACGCCTCCCGAGGATTAGCCGCTCTGCACCAATCACCGCCCCGCTCTCCACGGCAGCCCCTGCGGAGATTTGCGGAGGTGCGCCGCCTGCACACCGGCTGGGAGGAGAGGCTGGGCCCGGAGCTTTCTGGGAGGTGTAGTCAGCCGGGCCCTCCCTGCGCGCGTGCGCATCGCGACGGTCGTTCTGGCTGGCAGGCGGTGGCGTCCCTGCGTGTCCATGGTAACCAGTGGAGCCGACTCTGGTCCAGCGCACCCCGGGGCGTCAGAAAGCCCTGAGTAAGAGGAATGAGGGCGTAGGGGAGGGGGACTGGGATAAAGAGGGGAGGGGATGAGAGAGGGGAGATTGGTGACTGACGGGGGGCCAGGGAGGGACCCAGATTTTGCAGGTGAGAGGCTCCAGTCTGAACAGACAGGAGACAGCGGGGAAAGGTCTCTGCTCTCTCAGACCTAGAGAATGTGGTAAGAAGTCCGCGGGGCGGGGATTCAGGCCCTGGGAGGCCGGTGGCCAGAATAATTAGCAACAGGGAGCGAGAGCAGTAAGGGGTGGGAGGGAGAGGGGGAGAGGGGGAGAGGGGGAGAGGGGGTAGATTCACAGGGACCAGAAGTGCAGACATGGAGAGTCAAGGCACAGACAGGGACACAGGAGGACACCAGAAGGGAGAAGGAGACAGAAATCAGAGGCACAGTAAGATGGACTGAGAGTTTTCAAAGACTAAGAGAAGGTGACAGCAACAAGAAAGTTGGAGGGAGACTTGTGAGGAAAACTCACCCAAAACTTGACAAAGAGAACAAACATGACGGGGAGCCTGTGTGACTCCCTAAGCCAGTGGTTCCCAAACTTATTTGGCCTACCGCCCCCTTCCCAGAAAAAATATTACTCAGCGCCCCCTGGAAATTAATTTTTTAAAAATTTGCCGAGACCGGTTTGGCTCAGTGGATGGAGCGTCGGCCTGCGGACTGAAGGGTCCTGGGTTCGATTCTGGTCAGGGGCATGTGCCTGGGTTTCGGGCACATCCCCAGTGGGAGATGTGCAGGAGGCAGCTGATCGATGTTTCTCTCTCATCGATGTTTCTGACTATCTATCTTTCTCCCTTCCTCTCTGTAAAAAATCAATAAAATATATTAAAAAAAATTTTAATAGCAATTAAACAGAAAGATATATGTATTAATGTTTCTACCTTTTTCGTAAAATATAGTAAAGAAAGGTGTAAATTAGAAGCATTGAAGTTTGAAATTATGGAACTATTTATTGAACTCAGAATAGAAAGGTAATACAAAAAAAGTTAAAACAAATGCACCTGTGGCCATCACCGCCCCCCTGGATCGCTGCAGTGCCCACTGTTATGCCCAGAGTTCGGGGTCCCCAATAATCCACCACCAGGGAGCCTTTTCTGATACAAAAGCAAAGGGTCTTTTATTCAAGCCCGGGACTTGGTCCCCCTCCTGCCTCCATTACTGGATGCAAGAGAGAGCCCCGAGTTCCAAGAGAACAAAGAATTTATAGGGCTTGGGGTTGGGGGGTGGGGGCACACTCTGACCACTGATTTAGTCGATTCCGGTTGGTTGAGTGAGGGCTGGGGGCTAGTGACGCAAGGGCAGGGTGCAGCTAGGGTCTGGTTACACAAAGACAGGGGGGTGGCTAGCATACTCTTGGCCTTGGGCTAGTTTTCCCCACTTTCCCATTGGCCAAGATAAGGGCAGGCTGAGTAACTGATCCATTCTGAGGCTTTTTCTTGGAAGAGGGGTTAAGGACACAGCTATCAGTCCTGTTCTGTCCTTTCATTCCCCCCTTGTCTTGGAACTTCTGGCTCAATCATGAGACGGACTGAACTATCAACTGAACTATTTTTATACACTTCTTGACAGATTACAGACAGTCAGCAAGGGAAGGTGTTCCCGTGTTCTAGCTGGATGAGCAGCGGGGGCTGAGACAGGGATGCCTGGAGTTGGTCCCTGGACGGCCTGAAGCGGCGGAGCCCTCCTGGTGCTGAGGGACACTTGGTGCTGGCGGTGAGCAGAGGTTTGCTGTGGGGACAAAGCACCACGAGGTGGGAAGGGGAGGGAGGGGGAGAGCTCGAGGGCTGCCTGTGGAGGCCGGAGGGCAGGGAAGCAGCCGTCAGACTGTCCTTTCCCACGGAATGTTCTGTTCCTCTCCTTCCAGTGCCTGCTGTCCGCTCTGCGCTCGGAAGCTTGCCTCGCATGGAATTGCCCTGCCAGCAAGTCTTAGTGCTTCCCCACAACCACAGAGCTCCTCCATCGCGTGAAAGGCGTGCTCTGCCCGCCTCCACCCTCTCAGCCCCCAGGTGCAGCCCTCAATGCAACGGGGGCTGAACATGTTTCGTGGACTCGGCAGGTCCTGGTGGCTCAGGACGGCGCAAAAGAAATATCTCCAAGCAAAATTGACCCAGTTTTCAAGGGTAGACAGAATTCAACCTTGGAAACCTCCAAACACAGATGAAAACAGGATTTTGTTTAGCATTGAAGGACCTTACTCAGAAGTACTCTGACAAGCTAGAATGTTGTGGAAATGAAGTAGAGAAGATAACTGAAGAAAGATGATGCAAAACAATTGAGCTTGGCACAGGAATGAAAATGGTAAGACAACAGGAATGGCTATAATTGAGGTATTTTTACCTCCATGACTAAGAAAAGATAGAAGAACCTCTTGGAAACCCGACTGCACATCACCAGCAGAGACCTGAGGTCTGAAATAGCCAAAACCTTTGGATTTCAGAAAATTATGTCAAAATTGTCATCTATAAGAAACAACCTCAACTAGGTATGTTATGGAAAAGTGTGCAGAATTTTAAAATAGAGATATCCTATATAATAAAAGGGTAATATGCAAATCGACCTAATGGTGGAAAGACCAGTCGCTATGACACGCACTGACCACCAGGGGGCAGACACTCAATGCAGGAGCTGCCCCGTGGTGATCTGTGCGCTCCCACGGGGGAGGGGTGTGTGTGTGTGTGCTGCTCAGCCAGCATGTTTGGGAGTGAAGACAAATTTGCCAAGTTTCAGCCCAGGCTCATCAGACTGGCTGTGGAGGGCGGTCAGCTGGTCTGGGTTCTTGAGTGACCGTTCTGGCGAGTGACCCCCGTCACCTGCCCAGCGATGGTCCCCAACCAACCTGGCCGTGCCCTTACCTGGGGGCAGATGAGCTGAGCGAAAGCAGATGGAGCCCACCACACCCGTGGCAGCCGCTGGGGACACAGAGTGGGGGTGTGATGGAGGCAGCTGGCCAGGCTGCCTGTTGCCTGGGCGGCTGATGTCCTTTCTGCCCTGAGACAGTGGCCTGCCCCATCGAGGGCAAGCACAGGGCCAGGTGCAGGAGCTGAGGAGCCAACGGGTGCAGCTGGAGTGGCCCTGGAGGCAGCAGGTGTCCCCGGGACAGGACAGGGACTCAGCTGCCTGTCGGGGACGAGAGCTCAGTCCGGCAGCGGCCAGGGGGGCAGTAGGGGTGGGGCGGGGGGGGGGTGTACACTCCTAGCTCCCTGCTCATGGGGCCCTGAGACCCTGTGAGCAAGGCTGAGGCAAAAGTGCCTTTTTGTGACTTTGGTCTGGGAGCCGCACGCCATTTGCACAGCACGGGTCAGCCCTGCTATGAAGGAGGGACCCTTCAAGGGCCTGGGAGACAGAGGTGGAGTGGGGGCCACCATGGGGGCAGATGGCCACACCGGGGAGGTGGGGGGGAGTGAGCAGCACCTGGTCGTGTGGGGTCCCCTCCCCACTGTATCTCAGTCCCAGCTTCTCACCCAGCGACGCCAGGATCTGCCCTCGCATGCCCATCGCGGAAGGCACAGAACATGGACAGTTCATGGTGTTTTCTCTGGGGATGGGGGTGGGGGCTGCACAGGGAAAGAAAACAAAACTGAAGACACACACCTTCCTTCCTTTAAAAAAGCATGAAATAGAGAAAAGAATAATGGATAATTATTATTGAAATCACCTAGTTCATGTAGACTCTCTTCACAAGCCTGGTCACGGCGAGGGAAGGTTCTTTTTTTTTTAATGTGTTTTTATTGATTTCCAAGAGGACGGGAGAGGGAGAGAGAGAGAAACATCAATGAGAGAGTCATTGATCTCCTGCCTCCTGCAGGCCCCGCACTGGGGATCAAGCCCACAACCCGGGCATGTGCCCTGACCAAGAATTGAACCCTGACCTCCTGGCTCATAGGTCGATGCTCAAGCCCTGAGCCACACCTGCTGGGCGGGAGAGGGAAGGTCATGGTCCCAGGTCGTGGGTTTGGGTGCCCCCTTCAGGATCCCTCCTCCAGGAACAGGTGCTGTGCTGGTCCCTCAGGCTGAGGGTGACGGGCCCTCACCGGGTGTGCCTGCTCCCTGCATTGACGTTCATTCTGCTGTAAGAAAAGTGGGGCCTCTGGCTGCTATCGGCCCCCTCGCCTCCCCAGGCAGATGCTTACCTGCTCCCTGGAGCCTCACTGGACTCCCACCCATGGGCCCATGAGGGTCGGTGCTCCCGGCCTCGGTGGACGTTGCCTGTGAACCCGTGTCCAGGAATGACCGACACGGCATGCCTGCTCTGCTCACGCGGGTCTATGGCCCATCAGACTCCCCGTAAGAAACGTGCAATTAAGGATCTCAGACGGGTCAGGGGAGGGTTAGACCCGCGGACCCAGGTACAAGGCCAGCACCGGAGCTGCTGGGAGGTGGGCTTCGCACACACTGTGAGGTGAGGTGCACCCAGCAGCTCTCAGCTGGGTGGCGCGGGCCTGGTGTCCTGGTCACTCTCAGTGCCGCCTGCTCAGGCTCAGTGGGAGGGGGTGGCTGGGGGGAGGCGCATGCCTGACCCCACGCCTCCTGCTCAGGCAGCCGTGTCCACGCAGAGAGCAGTGGGGCTGCTGGAGCTCTGAACTGGCTCCCGGGCCCCCACGCCCTCTGCCTCCCTTGTCACCTCAAGGCCTGGCAGACGCTGTTCACCGAGAGACGCGTGTTTTAATCACCCGAGCCAGAGGCGCCGGTGCTGACCCCACTCTGAATGACACTCCAAAGGCTGGGCCACCCTCCCACTTTATAGCTTGGAAAGAGGCACAGAGACGGGGGTCTTGCCGTAGGACACACAGTTGTGAGGGCAGAGCTGTGACTCAAGCCATGTGGATGGACCTGGCGCCCACGTGCTGTACCCCAGGCGAGATGCCAACGCTACAGAGGCAGCAAGAAGAGGGCGACCAGTGCCCAGAAGAGGCAGCACAGTGCGTGCGCGCGCGCGCGCGCGCGCGCGCACACACACACACACACACACACACGTGCACATGCCCACCCTCCCTGGCTTTCACCTGAGCCTACAGAGGTCGGAGGAATCAGGGGAGGAGCCAGGAGAAGCCGAGGGGTTGGTGGGGGGCTATTCCCGTTCGTGGTGAGTCTGTCTCAATCCCTCTCCCTGGCAGGAACCTCACGGGACTGACATCAGATTCCGCCTTCCCGGGATCAGGTCTGTGGCTGAGCGTTCTCTGTGGCCCTCCTGGAACTCTGCTTTCAGTGATAAGGGGGATGAGGCATGTCGGCTTCAGGTTTGTCTGGACACAAACTTTATTAAAACGAGGCCAAAAACACCTTTGGGGACATTGGTGTTGACAACCCCATAGCACTTAAGGAACTGTTTGTCTATTGCCTCTCCTCATAAAAGTGGAGGATGTTTGACCAGTTATTTCTGTACTAATTACACTCTTGGGGAGGGAAAGGGGCCAGCAGGCTTCCTCTGAAGCCCCTCAGAGCTGGGGTATGAGGTATGTGGTGCCTACACTGACCTACAGCTGCTGAGGTGCGATTTAGGGCTCATGACTCACTCACCCTCCCTGCAAACACCAGACTTCTCCCCTGAGTGTGTCTTCTGGTGTCTGATGAGATGTGACTTATCTGTAAAGCCTCGCCCACACTCCCTGCACACATAGGGCGTCTCCCCTGAGTGTGTCCTCTGGTGTATGATGAGAGTTGACTTGTGTGTAAAGCCTCGCCCACACTCCCTGCACACATAGGGCTTCTCCCCTGAGTGTGTCCTCTGGTGTCTGATGAGAGTTGACTTGTGTGTAAAGCCTCGCCCACACTCCCTGCACACATAGGGCTTCTCCCCTGAGTGTGTCCTCTGGTGTGTGATGAGAGTTGACTTGTGTGTAAAGCCTCGCCCACACTCCCTGCACACATAGGGCTTCTCCCCTGAGTGTGTCCTCTGGTGTGTGATGAGATTGACTTCCTTGCAAAGCC